GATGTCGTAGAATTATTCTTTTGCGCAGTATTTTTCTTCTCTTTATTTGTTCTCATCATAATTTCACAACTTCTTAAACAATTTCACAAAGAGTTAATTGTTGCACATAGTTCATTTAACTGGCTGCTCGGATCGGTTGAGCCCCCATGTAAGATTTATTATAATATTATAGGTTTATTTAATATGAATACGATTAAGTATATAGCCGAACAGGTAAATTATGTTAATACAGATTTCAAATGACCGACAGAAATTCGCGACTACTTTTGACAACTTTCAACTTTATTACGACTTCTGCGACTGGCTTCTTCGACTTGCTTCTGTGACTACTTCTCGACTTCATTCTCTTATCCTCTTCGGCGCTGCAAACTTCTCTTCTGACCAAATTAGCATTTTAGCAAAGGGTGGGAATGATGGGTGGTGTGTGTCAAGGATGGGTGTGCCAACTTGTGAGGTGATTGTACCCATGCCATCTTACATGCATATTGTATAACTATATATTTTTGAAATTTTTTTTACCCACAAAATCGCTATAAATTAAGTTTGAGTTTTATTTTTGATCACAACGAATAACTGTTATTTGTCTACTTTTATTATAAAACTCAAAAAATAACAGTTATTCTTTGAGTTTTACTTTACGAATCCGAAAATAATTGTTAAAATGTGATTTTTAACATAAAACTCATAACAGTTACGGTCCCTGCTAAAAATAACAAAAAACACGAAAGGAAGCTAGCTTCGGCCAGCCGAAGCTTATATACCCTTGCAGATAATTCCTATTAATTTACAAATCGCAAAAATGTTAATTTTCCTATTATTTCTTATTAATTTTGCGTTCGTTTCGATGGCAGCTATATGATATTGTAGTTCGTTTTTGATAAAATTAATATCGAAATTTGAAAATATTTGAAAAGAGTTATATCCTAGAGTAGAAGAGAATACAATAAAAACCAACGAAGCCATAATTTATTTCCTATTATATTCCCATTAATTTTCCGATCGTTCCTATGGCAGCTATATGATATAGTCGTCCGATTTTGAAAAAATTTTATTCGAAATTCAGAATTAGATAAAAAATGACATTTCCAATAGTAGGATGTTATAGGTTCAAAAACACCCAAGATATAATTTTTTTACATTTTTTTTCCCGATTGTTCCTATGAGAGCTATATGATATAGTTGTCCGATCCGGCTCGTTCCGACTTATATACTACCTGCAATAGAAAGAAGACTTTTGGAAAAGTTTTATCCCGATAGCTTGAAATCTGAGAGACTAGTTTGCGTAGAAACGGAAGGACAGACGGACGGACAGACGGACAGACGGACATGGCTAGATTGACTCGTCTAGTGATGCTGATCCAGAATATATATACTTTATGGGGTCGGAAACGTCTCCTTCACTGCGTTGCAAACTTCTGACTGAAATCATAATACCCTCTGCAAGGATATAAAAATCAGAGCTTGCAAGGTTCGGTCAACATTTTCAAAGTGTTGGAAAAAAACCTGTCACTATACCCTGTAGTTCTCAAGGGGGCCGGTGGCACTTTCGGGGTAGAAAAGGGATCGACCACCCAGTGGTCCCTTAAGGGTCAATAGGTGGCGTGTGTATTTTTTACAAGAGCAAAAGAGTTAGAGTGAACTTTTCTATGTGAACACTTCTATATGAGTTTAAAAAATTGTAAAATGAAATTTTTGACAAGTATATAATGATTTTAATAACGAATACAACTTTATTTTGTTTTTATAAAAAACAAATTTAAAAAAAGTTAAAATAATAAAATACAAACTTAATAATGAGATAAAATAAAATAATAAATGATAGAATTTTATTTCTTTTTATATTATTTATATTTAATAATGAGCAATTTAGCTGCAGCAATATTTTTAACAATAGCGGTGGTTCAGTAGCAAAACGTTTTCTTTCCTTCCATAACAAGCGGATTTTATTGATGCTTAGATATATAAAATAAATATATAAGTACCTAATTTTATATACATATAGAACTAAACAAAAATAATATTAGCGAATGTTTTTATTGCCATCGATTATACGATATCGGTAGTCGCAATATTAATCGTAACGGATTGCCATAACTACCCAACCCCGCTACCATCACTAACCCAACGTTTGCGCCAAATTTTGTAAACATTGTATTTAATTTGTCTTATTGTACATTTAAAGTGTTATATTTTGTTGTGATCTGAAGTGTCGTCAACAGGTGAGTAACACCATGAGTTGTGCAAGTGAATTACCTAATAATGTGTGATATTTAGCCATGAACAGCAACAGGCACATTCGTCGATTTGTTAAAGAGGAGAAAGAGAAATAGTGGTGCAAAGGACTCCTACGTAAGTCTTTTTTCTTTGATATAAATATTTTAGTGAAATTTTCTTCCTTTTTAGATTAAAGCCATGAGATCGTTGTTGCTGCCAGAAGGGGGTTTAAAAAACTTGCGGAGGGTTCTCACGGATGAGTTTGTTGTGGGATTTAATGTTAAAGGCCTTTCTGGAAAAAAAGCCGTAAACTCCTTTACACATTTCTATGGTGCACTTCACGGTAGGTTATTATTATAACTGTATTTTTTATAATACACTTAGTTTCTTGATTCAATTTCAATCTATTTACTTACAATGCCATCTGTCTTTAATCCTATTTCTTTCTGTCTTTTTCTGCTTTTCACTTCTAAAACATGGTTTGATGTAAACAGGCTTGTATAACAAAATCTAAAAATATATATTTAAACCCATGCGGAGGGAATTATAATTTAGTCCAGAAGTTTGTTACGCAGTAATGGAGAATTTAACCATGTCCGTCTGTCTGTCGGTTCAAGTTTCAAAAGCGTGAAATAAGTCTACATTTAACTGTTGGTTATTCTTATTTTATATTTTTGCTTTTCTTGCCGAAGTTAGTTTCTGTTCTCATTTTATTTTAAAACACTAAAATCTTATTTTTTTTAGATATTGTTTCAGAATCTGGTAATGCAGAAATATTGATTCCCAAGGCAATTCAATTGCAAAAGAAACGATTTTTTAAAAATAAATCCAAATCAAATAATAACAACAATGAGGCACTCAACAAAAACGTGTCAGCAGAGGAATTTGTTCAATAAATATAAATTAAAAAAATAGAAAAATTGTCTACTTATAATACAATAAATTAATTTAACAAAAAGTATTTTTTCTTGTGAAGTTTCATAGCATTCAGCTTTTTTGGTATTGAAAACACCAACCCCATTTCATACCCCTTTTCGCCACAAAAGGGACCGATAGGTGGTCCGATAGATGGTCCGATAGGTGGCCCCTTTTGTGGCGAAAAGGGGTATAATATGGGACCACCTATCGGTCCCTTTTGTGGCGAAAGGTAATGCAGAACTTCGCCATATGACCACCGCCTAGGACATGCCGTGGTAAAAGTGGATAGAAATTTACATTGCGGGTGGTATAAACGGGAGTTAGTCCCAAGCCCCCGGTGTATGGCGATTTCGCTAGTTCGGGACCAGTCCCGGCGAACTACAGGGTATGAACAGATCTCGAAAACTACAGAAGCGAGAAGATTTGGGATTTCCCACACATATTCTTGGGCTTCCTACGCAGCGCAAGTTTTTTGCAGCCGAGCGCCACGCCCCTAACGTCGACAACGACGATTTTAAAATGTGTCTGGCGCCCACACCTTTAAAGATTGATTCGATTGGCCAAACAAAATTCCAGAAAATCCGTTTTTTATACCCTTGCAGAGGGTATTATGATTTCAGTCAGAAGTTTGCAACGCAGTGAAGGACACGTTTCCGACCCCATAATGTATATATGTTCTTGATCAGCATCACTAGATGAGACAATCTAGCCATGTCCGTTTCAATGCGAACTAGTTCCTTAATTTTAAAGCTATCGCGATGAAACTTTCCCAAAAGTCTTCTTTCTATTGCAGGTAGTACATATATCGGAACGAGCCGGATCAGACCACTATATCTTATGGCTACCATAGGAATAATCAAAAAAATAATAAAAAAAAACCATTGTAACGTCGTAGAAAGTAGGCGTTTTGATTTTTGACAATGTAAAAACAACATTTTCAGTAGGCATACCTGCAAGGGTATATAAACTTCGGCTGGCCGAAGTTAACTTCCTTCTTGTTCGCTATGAAGTAGGCATTTTGATTTCTGACATTTGAAAACCCAAGTCTCGAAAATGGCCAATATACATCTGATATACCTAAACGGGACCCATCAAGATAAAGCGTTTGAAGCTCTCAAAGAAAGTAAGTATGCATTTGAACTGCAAGGGTATACAAACTGTGGCCTGCCAAGGTTAACTTCCTTTCTTGTTCAAGTAGAAGTTATTGACGAAGAGTGGCTTCTAAACTAATGAATGTAAAAAAGTAATATTATTTTGTCTATTACGACGACGAAGAAGGGGCGAGAGACGGGGCGAATTCGCGAGAGCGAAGAAAGCTTTATTGCGTTCCCACTCTCCAACAAACTTCAAAAATACATTACATTTTTGGACAGGTTTTTTTATTTTACATGGAATACGACAAGTAGCTATCCAATGGATACAAATAATATGATGAGTTTTATAGATCGATGGATTCTTTAGATCTCTTGCTGTGAAGGCTAAATTTTACCAGCCTTAATTTTCTCTAAAGAAGTTCGTGAGCTTTTAAAACAGCGGTATCCAAAAACAAGCAGCCTCGGCCCAAGTATGGCAGCAGCTCAGAAAATTCCAAGAAAATAACATACTTTGTCATAATTACTTTGAAATACTTACGGTCATACATACATACCTGTTCAATCAAAAAATATCTCCTGCCTTATTCCCTGCTAAAACCCTGCCACAAGCGTCACTTCCCATTAAGTTTACTAGTTCCAAATCCAAAACAAACATCTTTCTATACACTTTAGATATACACAAACTTAATTTTGATTGCGTAAAATGGAATTTTAGGCAAGATACTTTTTGACGTAATTACAGTTACATCGTTTAAAAAACCACTTCAATATGTCTACATAATTCAGTTAATCCTTTTAATGTATAAAATGTTTAATATAAATATACAAATATAGGGCGAGCTGCTTCACGAGCACTCTTCTTGACTTTTCCGGACGCAACGAGCAACTTTGCGTTTAAAGTCGGTATAAGATTCTCGCCATTCTTTAGCGGCATCTACGTTTGCTGGAGACTCATCATTAGGATCAGCAAGCATTGATATTACAGATATCAAAATAGTCTCCACTGTGTGCACGGGTAACCAGCGCTCCGATGCCTTTTCGTAGCCCCATTTGTCGTCTCCAGGCTCATGTAAAATAGAAATACAGACATCTCCATTTTTCTCAATATTTGGGTGCCAAATTTCTGTTACAAACTTCATTCGGGGAGGTCGCAAAGGATATTCTTTGGGGAAGTACAGATGTGCTTTAAAAAAACCTCCTTCACTGTGGGTAAAAAATAAAAATATTTTATTATTAAGGAGAAGTTTAAGTAAACACTAAAATTTGTCAGTCAAAATATTAATACGATCTTGGGGATTCCACCACCCAATACTACCCACCACCACCCACTTCCCGCCTTCAAGGAACGAAGCCGCCATCAGTGGCAGTCAATCATCAGTAATTGTCGGTCGCGTGTAGACGTGTTTTCTTAGCGCTCCGGAAAAACAAAAGAAAAACAATCTTTCACCCAGTTGAAAACGTTCGAAAATTTAGAACGGCGTGGTCTTGCGTTTCGCGATGCTAATCGCATATTGTAAACTAAAGTTTTAATTAATTAATTAATTAATCTTTACGCACTAACAATAAGCAAATGATTAAGAACGTGGATCAGCGCACTCAACGCCAAAAACAACAAGACGAAGCCCGTGAAAAAATTCAGAGAGAGCAAGACAAACGTCGTCTTTCTTTGGCCCGCAACAATGCTTATTTCTCTTTTACGAATAATACTCTAGAACCGAAAGTGCAAGAAAATGCAATTTTACTGACCGCCGAAAACCAGAGAGCTAGTTCTTGCTCTCCCGCCCTGCTTCTCAACGCTCAAACGCCATGGAGTGAGCAATGCAAAACTCCAACCGAGCTTCAGCCACCTGGTGCAACAACAACAGCAACTACTACGTCAACTACAACGGCCTCTGTCGCCAACATTGCAATAACGACTCCACTCTCTTCTTCTGCAGCGGGTAAAGCAACAACACTATTAAGTGCAAAAATCGGGTCAAACGGCAAAAACAAAGCTATGGTTGAAGAAATGACAAATCCCCAAGCGGGTTCGGCCATGCAGACAGGCATGGATCGCTACATAAATATTTCCCTCGCCCTCAAAAAATGCTGACGGCAATAAGCCCAAAGTAAACCGTACCAGCAAAGGCCCTGAAAATCTCGGGCCACTAAATGGAAATAGATTTTCCATTCTGGCGGAGCACGAAACAGAGTCTGAACAATTAGCCCCAAGGAAACTGAAGCCGCCACCTATCTTTAATCGGGAGAAGACCTCGAATGCCCTAGTCAACAAAATAGTTGAGCTAGTCGGAAAAGATAGCTTTCATGTTATTCTGCTTATGAAAGGGAATATAAGTGAAACTAAACTGCAAACCAGAACTGAAGACGATTTCCGATTTCCAAAAAGAATTACTACACGTACCAGCTAAAAAGCTGCAAAGGCTTGCAAGTTGTGCTTAAGGGAATAGAACCCGAAATTACAGAGGCTTTAAAAGAAAACGGTTTCTGTGCAAAAAATGTTATAAACATTATGAACAAAAACAAGAAGCCGCAACCACTATTCAAGGTCGAGCTAGAGCCAGACAGCAGAACTTTGAAAAAAAACACAGTGCACCCGATCTACAAGTTGCAGTACCTGCTGCATCGTAGGATCACAGTAGAAGAGCCGCACAAACGGAACGGGCCAGTGCAATGCACGAACTGCCAGGAATACGGACACACCAGGGGTTACTGCACCCTCAGGTCAGTATGTGTAGCTTGTGGAAACATCCACGACTCCGAGCCCTGCCCTGCCAACAAGGAAGACTCTCTCACTAAAAAGTGTGTAAACTGCCAAGGAAACCACACAGCAAACTACAGAGGCTGTCCAGTCTACAAGGAGATGAAAAGTCGGATGCAACGAACGACAACGGCACGCTACCAGAACACACAGAACAATTACATGAGATCACAAACGACACCGGAAGTTTTCTTCGCAAAAGCAGCCAGGTCTTCATTTGGCCCTTCAATAAAATTACAGTTGGGCAACTGCAACCTTGCCAGCTTGTTTTGGAGAAAAGACGTTTGAGGCGTGCTTGGCAAACCAGCAGATCGCCATCCTCGAAACAAAGTCTTAAGGAAGCTGGTCGCAGACTTACCAGGGCCCTAAGGCACGAAGAAGTAGAAGCACAACGCCAGTACATTGAGAAACTTTCACCCACCAGCACCAAGCATCCCTTGTGGAAGGCCCACCCAAATCTAAGTGCGCCGTCCGAAACAGTAATCCCCGATAAGAGACTCTTCAGGCAGCTGGGCCAGAAGCGACAAAGACAGAGCTTGTACATTCGCTTTACACCTTCGAAATGTCTTTCAGCCAAACCCTGCAACAAATTCATTCGCACTACCGTCGCCGCCAATTCGAATCGAAACTGAGACGGACCCAATTCAGTTTCAACCAAACGAAGTTGCAAAAGTCATCAGCGAGCAATTGAAACCAAAAAAGGCCCCAGGCGGTGATCTCATAACTGCGAAAATGCTAATTGAACTCCCAAACTGTTCAGTTGAGGTCATTTGTAAACTCTTTAACGGGATTATACGACTTGGCTACTTTCCAAAAAAATGGAAAAAATCGGTAATCATAATGATCCCAAAGCCAGGAAAAGATCACACAATACCAGCTTCATACAGGCCGATAAGTTTACTCTCGTGTCTGTCAAAACTGCTCGAAAAATGCCTTTTGACGCGCATAATCCCATATCTGAAAGAGCACAACGTTATTCCGGCATCAATTTGGCTTGCGAGAAAGCCATGGAACAATAGAGCAAGTCAACAGATTAACAACGGAAATACGGTCTGCATTCGAATATCGAGAATACTGCAGTGCGGTATTCCTTAATGTTGCACAGGCTTTCGATCGAGTCTGGCTTGATGGCCTTATGCACAAAATCAGAACTATTCTGCCGGAAAACACTCATATGATACTTGAATCGTACCTTTACAACAGAGAATTCGCCGTGAGATGCAACACTACAACATCAGACGATTACACTATAGAGGCTGGAGTTCCCCAAGGTAGCGCCCTTGGTCCAACTCTGTTTCTCCTTTACACCGCAGATATTCCCACGAACGTCCGGCTAACTACTTCCACATTCGCAGACGATACCGCGATCATAAGTCGGTCCAAATGCCCAATTCAGGCAACAGCACTACTAGCTGATCACCTCGTGGTAGTGGAGAGGTGGTTATCAGACTGGCGTATAAAAATAAATGCACAAAAGTGTAAACACATAACGTTTACTCTTAACAGACAAACGTGTCCCCCGCTAACTCTGAATAACACGCCACTTCCACAAGCTGACGATGTAACGTACCTTGGCGTTCACCTAGACAGGAGACTTACATGGAGGAAACATATCGAAGCTAAGAAAATTCATCTAAAACTAAAATCCATTGGCCTCCATTGGCTCTTAAATGCTCGCTCCCCCTCTGCCTGGACTTCAAGGTCCTGCTCTACAATTCAACGCTTAAGCCAGTCTGGACATACGGCTCCCAGTTGTGGGGAAACGCGAGCAGCAGCAACATCGACATTATCCAGCGAGCACAATCAAAAATCTTGAGAACTATCACTGGGGCACCTTGGTATATTTGGAACGACAACATCCACAGAGATCTTGGCATTCTGCCCGTAAAAGACGAAATATCAAAACAAAAAGCGTCCTACCTCACCAAGCTAACTTCTCATCCAAACCAACTCGCCAGGGGGCTAGCCAGGGTCTCATACCGGACCCGATTGCAACGAAATGACCTTCCAGCTCAGCAATAGTTATTAGAGCCCTTTAATCTCGCGTCAGTCATCATGACTGTTAGATAGTTTTTTTAATTTAAGATTTTATATACTTATTGTTAGTCTCAATTCAGAGAAGATCCAATAAATAAAATGCATACGTAATAAAAAAAAAAAAAAAAGTGGCAGCCGACTTCAATCTCGAGCCATCACTCGGTTCCTCGAGTCGGTCATTGATCATCCACTCGGGTCCCACTCGGCTCGCCGAGTTAACATTCGCAAACCCAAAGTGGCCCGCCCCCAAACCTTTTACCACCCTTGAAGACCTCAGTGGTCTCGGAACCTACTCTCATTTAGAAGTAAGGGGTATTAAAAAGGGACGACGTGGCCGGGGCATATTTTCCGGCGCAACCAAAAGCCGTTTCTCTCTCGCCCACAGGAATCCAACCCCTGCGTGACTACACAAGGACGATTAGGAGCCGCCCACAATCGCACTGGACGACAATGCTGAAGTACGGACCAGCCTCGCCGCGCTATCTTTGTCTTACCTCTGTAAGTTTAAGGGCCGTTTTCTCGTCCGTACTTTAGTATGCCTGCCGGGACAACGGAGCGATAAACAAAAAATGGTTTACTCGTCCTTATGTTAGCGCAGGTAGGGACAAATTTTGTCTCGGTACTTCATCCAACGTGCAAAATTTGTGCGGTTGGATTGTGCGCAAGTATTGCCAGACATTTGAGCGTTGTCAATCTGGTTCCACTCTTCATTCGAAAACAGGTGATTCTATTTACAGTTAAATACAAATAAATGTATTGATTTTAAAATGAATTCCCGAGCGATTTATCTTCAAACTCTGTGGGATATCGTCGAATTGTCTGAAGGGCGAACCTATCGGCGCAGATATCACGACCAAAGAAATTACTTCGAACATTACAGTGATGATGAATTTGTTAAAAAGGTTCTCTTAAGAAAAAGAGGTGAAATTTGTTTTACAAAAAAATGTTTTGCGACTTGAATTTAAAGTAAAGCAGTAAGTGCATTCATTTGATTTAACTAATTCCATATAATCACAAACCATTATTATCGGGAAACGATAATACATGAGTTAACCTTCTAAGCTCTAAGCTCTAAGCTCTTAGATTCTTCGCAAGCGGCAGTTTTCTTATAACTGTAGGCAATTTTTGTGGTGTTAGCGTGGCCACTGCCAGTCGAGTTGTTAAGGGCGTTAATTTTGCTATAGCGTCTTTTTCAAAACAATTTATGAAGTACCGGCGTATTAAAGATCTTCAAGAAAATGTTGTTGATTTTTATAAAATAGCCAAGTTTCTGAAAGTCCAAGATAGGAGCCATAGATTGCACGCATGTAAGAATTCAATCTCCCGGAGGCGATTCCGAAGACACCAGTTCTACAAGAATTGTGTCCTGTTCATCGGTATAATTTTTACCGCGAAACTTTTTTTCTGCCGACATTCTTTTTTATTAGTTTGAAATTTTGTTGATATCATCAGCTGTTAGTATGACTGTTTTATGGTATTTTTCGATAGTTTTTGACAATTAGTTAACTCTTCTATTGTGGGGCTGCCACCCAGTCTCAAATTAGTGCGCCTTTTATTTGGAGTTTTAAATGACGGACGAGAAAATGAAAACTGATTTGCCACCGGGATAAATTTATCCTTCTATTACCTAAATTTTACTTTGCAGGACGGACGAGAAAACGGCCTTAAGTTGATTGATCGAGTACGCAGAGGAATTCGAATTGGACGCAACGGGAAAAGTGGGGGAACTGAGACAAATATTATCAGCTTTCGTAAGGAACTCAAACCACACAGAGACGATCAGGCAGAGACTAGGAGAGCTAGCGAAAAAACACAGGATGGAAACAGGAGCGGTCGAACAAGGCAAAACACCGACAGAGGAACTCAACATGGTAGCAAACCAAATCGACTAACTGGTGAAGCAAATCAAAACACCACTGCGGCCAGACTTAAAGACGCCAGACATGCAGGACAATAAGGAATGGAAAATAGTGGTGGCAACCCTGAACCGAGTGCGGAGCTGGGGGATAGGCTACAAGGGAACAACCAATTACTTAGAATTCGAAGAAATCGAAACGCGCATATATTAGCGATATATATCAACATTTTTAGGGTTATAAAATGTAACCGCAATTCTGATTTCATGGGCGGAAAGAACTCATCGAAATAAGCTAAAATCCATTTGGATTTCTCTGGCTTAGCTCGCGTTTACCTATTATAGCGAGTTAAAGTTTTACATACAAAATTTATTTGTAACGGCCATATATTGTGAACCGATTAAAATTTTACTATCAAGTCTTCAGTGATTATGTAGCTATGAACCCAAGGAACTAAATTGACAAATGGCTCTTGCGAAGACGTACACCTAGCGCATTAAAAATCGAAAAATTAGGCAAATTTGTTTTTTAACGCGCTAGGTGCACTAGGTGCTAAGTGCGCAAGAGTCATTTGAGTCATTTAAGTTGAGCTATATGGTATAGTTGTCCGATCCGGCTCGTTCCGACTTATATACTAACTGCAATAGAAAGAAGACTTTTGGGAAAGTTTTATCCCGATAGCTTGAAAACTGAGAGACTAGTTTGCGTAGAAACGGAAGGACAGACGGACGGACAGACGGACATGGCTAGATGGACTCGGCTATTGATGCTAATCAAGAATATATGTACTTTATGTGGCCGGAAACGCCTCCTTCACTGCGTTGCAACCATCTGACTGAAATCATAATACCCTCTGCAAGGGTATAAAAAACACGCAGTTTTTAGGAAATTTACCGCACTTCCGTGTAGTATATCTTAAGATATCGAATCGATTTGCTTCTTGTTTCCACTGATTGGTGTGTTGGTTAAGTGTAAAATAAGTAAAACATATTGCAGTTTGCCAGCAGCATCTCTTAGTAATGCGCTAGTTGTCAAACGTCTATTTCTTACCAATTTTAACTTTGATGGAAAATAAAAAAAAACAAAAGCTGGGGTGGGTCTCCCGACTATCTGATACCCGTTACTCAGCTAGCAGTGCGAGGGAGATATAAAACTTTGATTGCGCATAACTTTTTAATGAATAGTCCGACAACAAGACATAAAAATCTGATATTTAAAATGGTTAAATATTCGAAAAAGTAGTATAGTAGTAAATAGTACAACTTTCTAGGCCGAAATTTTATTCAATGCATGTTTATTTGGTTTTCGCAGTCCAGGTACGGAATCCGTGTCTCAAACGTAGACTTTTTTACACCCGTGAATCAGAAATATTTATATATTTAAAAAAAATATATTTTAATGTTAATAACATACTATAGTGTATCTGGTGGTCCAATGATTAAGACTTCCCAGCGAAAAATATCATTTTCATCAATTAAACCAGCCGAGAATCCTTCCACAGGATTCTTGTTTAGTTCTGAAACGAAAAAAGTATAAATATTTTTGGTATAATTGAATTAATTAATTAATAATTATGAATGATCAAGAATATGTTAAATTAGGTGGTACATTCTGATTGTTTCATAATGTTATCTACGCATTATCAAATTTTATTTTTTTTTTTTTTGTTTCCTGATAGCCGTATTCCAGGATATTACTCAGCTCATCTGTCTGTCTGTCTGTTTGTCTGCCTGCTTGTCTGTCTGTCTGTTTCGGAAACTACAAAAGATGTTTGAGATTTTCCACACATATTCTTGCGCTTCCGCTTCAGCGAAAGTTTGTTTCAGTTAAGCGCCCCCCTAACGTCCACAATCGCCTTAAACGATTTTAAAAGGTGTCTGGCGCCCACACCTTTAAAGATTTCAGAAAAGTAAAAGTGCAGTTTTATTGTGTTTACCAATACCTATCGAAATGTAGAAATTTAGAAATTTTTTAAATCGAACCATTCCTTAAAAGTTATGCGCGATGAAAGTTTTATATCTTCATATCCCTCGCACTCGCTTTAGCTGAGTATCAGGTATCTGATAGTCGGGGCACCCGACATTTTCAAAACCACTATTATTTGGGGTTCCCATTTAAAATTAACTTAAACCGCTTTGACCACTTTTTTGGCCAAAATTAAATCCTCCCTCAATTTAAAAGATATCAATGTAAAAATCATTTTTATTTATCCCAACGCATATTCTGTAATAACTCTCGGATCAGACAACTATATTAAGAATTTAACTAATCATTCGAACTAGACACACGAACACAAAAAAGAGTCACCAAAAAGTCTTTGTTTTTGTCAAATTCCCGGGTCTAAAAAATCCAAAATTTTTGAAAAGTGTCGTTTAAGCTTCGTGTAGTTTGCTACAACAATTAAATACATTGGCAATAAGCAAATTTATATTTGCCAGTACCAGCCAAACCAAACCCAAAATAAGCGTCGAGCTTATTATGGAATCCGAAAAACTCACACGCACACGCACTCACTAAAACACTCAAATGACTCCAGCAACAAAACGCTTGCATGAAAATACGTCCACGGACCTTAAAAAAGACCGTCCAGATGATACACTCTTACCTACGTTGATTGAGTTGGTAGAGCAGAAATTTGCTGAGCAGACTGCTAACATTACTGCCTCAATACAAAAGTCTGAGGATCGCATTATACAAGAAATGCATGAAAAAGTTAACGTGATGAGTGGAAAAATAGAAGAACTCACTCAACGGGTGCACCAACTGGAGAAGGGAAGGAAAATCTAAAGGAGAGGATGATGCAACTAGAGGCCGTAACCCAAGATGCACAAACTTTAGAAGGGCGGGTTGGAGATTTTGAAGCGCGGGTGGCAACACGGGCGAACGAGTCCATCGCAGCGGACGACTCTCAGGTCCTATGGTCTCATGGTGTGCCTTACCAAGATAATAAAAACGTAAAGTCTATAGTTCACTCACTGTGTTTCAATCTGAAACTCACGCCGCCGCCGAGGATTCGTGTTAATAAATCCTATTCAACGTTTCAGATATAGAGGCATACCAATCGAATAGTCGTGCAATATTGAGGGTTCTCGCCAAACAAAATAATGGGTTACATATCTGCCATATAAATGCGCAAAGTTTATGCAAAAAGATTGAGGAGTTCAGGTATTTGTTTGTTAAGTCCAACATAGATGTTTTGTGTGTTTCTGAAACGTGGTTTGCTTCTCAACATAATGACGCTATCGTAATCCGATCCGATCGGGATGCCGGGGGTGTGGCTATCTACATTAATACAAAACTAAAAACAAAACTAATATGTAAGCAGCCAACAAGAAGTGCAGTTGAATACCTCTTCTTACATGTCAACGGGAGTCGAAGCGCTTCCAATATGTTGCTCGGGTGTGTTTACCGACCGAATCGAATAGTTGACTATTCTGATTTTGTTGAAGTAGTGGCTTCATTATGTTATAAATATAACAACGTCGTAATAACCGGGGATTTCAATAGTAATCTGCTTATTGAGCGGCATCTAAACTTAGAAATGGAGAGTCTTGGACTGATTCCTGTGAACTTTTCTACACATACACACTTCTCCAATACTCTCAACAGTCTTCTTGATGTTTTTTTTTTGTAAATGATAATAGTATGTCTCTTTCATATGACCAAGTCTCAGTGCCAGCTTTTTCAAAGCATGACTTAATCTATCTGACATATGAATTTGACCCTATTTTTCTTGACCACACCATTAATTACAGAGATTTTAGGAAAATCGATCTTGACTTAATTAGTCAGCATTTAGATGCCCTCGATCTAAATTATATGCATACTTTAGCAGATGTAAACGCCCAAATAGGTTTTTTGACAGAATGCACAGAGTCGTTGTATGAGAGATGTGTGCCCCCCCTTAAACAAAAAGTTATTAAGGCCACGGAAAATCCATGGTTTAATAATGCCACAGCTTTACAGATAAGCCAAAGAGATAGTACTTACAGAAGATGGAAATGATACAAAATTCGTGATTACTATAAAGAATTTAAGTTATTACAAACTGCAGTAAGGGGCTGTCCATATATTACGTAATCACAATTTCGGCGATTTTTGACCCCCTCCCCAATGTAATCAATTCTTCATACAAAAAAAAAAAAAAATTGCACTAGAGTAATCATACGGTGGACCCCCCACCCTAGATGATTACGTAATATATGGACAGCCCCTAACCACCTAAATCGTTAATGCGAAGCGTACTTACTATTCACAAAAATTTCAAACTGCCATGTCGATGAAGCAGAAATGGAAGGAGTTACAAAATTTTGGTGTGGGCAAGTTCAAAAGCAAAAGCAATATAACTGCAGACCCTAATGAACTGAATATAAAATTTGTGCAATCAAACGTACCTGAAACTATGACCAACCCTTATCTTGACATTATTGTGAATAATATCTGTGATAATAGTTTTAGTTTTATGTGTATTTCTTCTTGTGATGTTTTGGATTCTGTTCTTAAAGTAAAGTCGAATGCGGTAGGGCTTGATAATGTACACCCTAGCTTCAAAAAAATGAATTAGAGGTTCATAAATTAGAAGTTCAAGATACCACTTCCGATAAATTGTGGCTCTGGGCTACGAAGGGTTTTCTTACTATTAAGTCGCAAAAACTGCCTAAAAATCGAAAATTTGGAACTTTGACCACGGATTTCTCAAAACTTTGACGTGATGGAAAGTTTCCAAGTGTGAGGTAGTAATCTACAGCTAAAATCATTTCAGGTTTGGTAGCTTTTATTCTTGGGCTTTTTTTTTGTCGACCAGTGTTATTATATTTATTTATTTATTTATTTATCTATATCGCCAATGGATAAATCCTTATCTGGCTACATCTTACTACAATTGATTAACTTAAATCTATTATTGAATATTATTTAAAAAATATTCCCTAAGGTTTTGCCTTAACAATTCCTTCTTGGCCCCCCAGCTGAATCTAATGCTTGTAGGTAAGGAATTAAACATTATTATTATTATATACTATATACTATATACTATATAATTATATACTATATACTTTTTTTTTATTTTTATTTTAATTATTAGATATAACTGAAAACATCTGACAGATACTCGACAGTAACCAGATAATATTTTTAACTTTATTGAACTTCAGCAAAGCATTTGACACGGTTAACCACAAAATTCTATGTACAAAACTTTTAAAATTCTTCGACTTTTCTGGACCCGCTGTTAAACTCATATCATCATACTTGAGTGGTAGAATGCAAGCAGATTTTACTGAAATTGGATGTTCAGAACCACTCATACTAAAGCGTGGCGAGCTTGTAACGACCCATCGTCACAACAACTAAATGCAACCCGCGCGCGTCTTTTCAAACGCGCGCCCAAAGCCCAAAGCGACAACTGGTCACACTGACAACAGAGATATAGATAGTCGAAGGCCATCGCTAGAATCATGACCCGATAACTAATTATCGAAAACGGGATTATCGTTACCGCTCGCTCTGGGCACTCTAAATAGCGGCTATATAATCAGAGGCAAGGCCTCAGATCAGGGACTTGCGTTCCGACGATCATCGAGGAAACATCTACAAGGAGGAAGATCCGGGTAAGTGGTGGGGGATCCGTAGGAGTTCGGTTTTAAATCGGCTCTGCGACCTGGTTAGGATCACTGGCGTCCCGGTGTGGTTTCCTAGAAATCAGCCCAGACCCAGTCGTGATCACTGAGGCGGCCCGGTTTACGTAATTCAGGCCCACCTCAGTGAGTTCCCCCAGACGTCACGTTTCCGGCTCCCGACCCGGACACGAAACGGATGTAGAAACGGCAGGTCGAAACTAACGATGCCCGGCAGACCGAAACTAACGATGCCCTACATTCCCGAAACCCACTAGAAACCCAAGTAGATCGTTCCCAACGACCCAGAACTCTACGTGCCCGACGTACGCACGACGAAGCAGTTCACGTACCGGCCCATCCGCAGCACCAACGCGATCACTCGGCCCATCCCGCAGCGCCAACGCTATCATCACTTACACTTCCGTAGCGTAACGTACACACCACGAAGCAGTTCACTCTTCGGCCCTTCCGCAGCGCCGTCGCGACTTTACGGCCCATCCGCAGCCAAGTCACTTCCGCAGCATCGAATCAACGACGGCAAGCAGTTCATCACACGCTTCCGCAGCATCGGATCAACGACGGCAAGCAGTTCATCACACACGCTCCTGTGGCATCGGACCAACGGCGGCAAGCAGTTCTTCACACAGCTTCAGTAGCATCGGATCCCGACAGCAAGCAGTTCACCACTCGGCCCTCCCGGAGCACCAAATCAACAGCAAGCAGTCCAGCCTTCGGCCCTCCTGTAGCACCGAACCACCGAAGCAAGCAGTGTCGACTCACATATACATACGTCATCACCCGACAAAACCTCACTTTACAATTACTACGAAATACACGCCTACCTTATAGCTCTATCCCTCTGTGTTATTATTGGGGAAAGGGAGGTAAAATCGATCTATAGAGGATCTATAAATATCTGTCGCGAACCCTGGCCACGGCGAGCTATACCGCCTCCCAAAACAGGGTCGTTACAAGCTTCAAGGCACTGTGTTATGTCCACTATAGTTTTCAATGTATGTAAATGTTAACTGTACTTATATTTTGAACTTATAATATAAACTTTTGGCACCTATAGAAAAAGCACTTCAATTCCGTTTAAATGACACAAAAATGTTCTTAACCCATTAATGCCATTTCCTCACTGATGTACATACTGTAGTATTTTTTCGGTATTCAAAAAAATGCTATTTCCTGTCCGCACGGGAAAGCATTTAGCATTCAGCATTTATTATTTCGAAAACAGATGTGCTTTGCTTTTAAATTCAAAATATTCAATGCTAACAAAAATTATCTTATTTTTGTCATGTCTTTTCTGCTGAAAATTCAGAAACAGCTAGAGAAACAGCGCAGGCACGGAAACACAAAGGAAAGCGTTGAAAGCTTATCATGAGGAAGACATTTTTCAAAACCTGAGATATGGGCATAATTTCTCAAATGCTAACCCGCAAGCAGGAGATTTGAACCATCAAATGTATTGACCATGGACAATAAAGATTTGAATGTTTTATTAAGCTTTTGTTTGCATTATATATTGCTATGAAATGCAATATGGGGGTTTGTTGCCTCTTACTTCCTGTGACAAACCTGAGCGGCAAAAGATTGGTCAGGTTTTGTTAACTGCAGTTATTCGTAATTTTTTTTTCTGCAGAGAAATCATCTATAGTGGGCCTTGATAATTTCGTAAATTTTGCGATGGCCGTTTTGTCGATAGTCAAAAAATACTCAGATATTTGGTATTTTAGGCACGAGAATATCAAAATGTAGTAGCATTTATTGTCGAATGCTCTTTTCTCCCACCTCTAGAACCACTTGAAAATATATGGGAAATATGTAACATATACCAAAAAATGTCAAAATGCTACATTCAGCTCTGGTGAGGAAAGGGCATAAGACTCCTTTGAAAAGTGAGCAAATTTTGCGAAAGTCAAATTTTTAACTTTTTTCCTGGGCCCTAAAACAAAAATGTTTTGATGCAAAGTTGTTCCCCAATCAAAAGTAATAATAACTGACAAAAAAAAAATATTTCAAAATATTTTTCCTAGTATTTTTTATGATTTTTTGAATGGAGACATCTCATTAAAATTTTGTATGAAAAGGAAGAAAAAGCGGCTAAAATTGTCATTTTTAGCTATTTTCAAAAAAACATAAAAAATACTAGGAAAAATATTTAAAAAAATTTTTTTTGCAGTTATTATTAATTTTTATTGGGGAAAAACTTTGCACATTTACATTTACATTTTGTTTTTAAGCCCCAGGAAAAAAGTTGAAAATTTGACCTTCACAAAAAATGTTCTAATTTGCTCACTTTTCAAAGGGTGCTTAATGGGTTAAGAACGGAATTGAAGTACACTTTCTGTAGGTGCCAAAATGTTTCTATTATAAGTTCAAAATATGAGAAGATTTAACTTAAAAATAATTATGCCGACTAGTGAAGAAATTTTTGAAATGGGACCATTCATTAAAAAAGTATGCGCAATCAAAATATTATACACTGGTCGGCATAATTATTTTGACAGATTTTAAAGTTATTTAATTTGTTTATTTATTTATTTTCCATTCAAAAAATCATAAAAAATACAAGGAAAAATATTTTGAAATATTTTTTGTTGCAGTTATTATTAAGTTTTATCAAAATGTAACATTCAAATCTGTCAAAATAATTATGCCGACTAGTGTATATATATCTCCCTCGCACTGCCTTTAGCTGAGTGACGGGTATTAGATAATCTGGACATCCACCTGACTATAGCGTTCTCTCTTGTTTTTACATCTCTCAGTTTATATCTTATAGCTCCCATAGGAAAAATCGGGAAAAAAACGTAAAAAAAATTCTAGCTTCGGTGTTTTTTGAAATATAACCTTCTACTCTTGGGAATGTTATTTTTAAATAATTATGAATTTCGAATAAAATTTAGATCAAATCGGGACACTATATCATATTCTCTTCTACTCTAGGATATGACTCTTTTTAAATGTTTCCGAATTTCGGTTTTAATTTTATCAAAATTGAACAACTATATCATATAGCTGCCATCGGAAAATTAATGAGAAATAATAGAAAATTGAACGTTTTTGCGATTTGTTAATTAATAGGAATGATCTGCAAGGGTATATAAGCTTCGGCTGGCCTTTCTTGTTCGTTTTATAATAGGCCAGACTTTTCAACTACATATAAATCTGGACTTTGAGGTGGCCAGTCCAAAGTGGTTACACCAACATCCTTCAAAAATGTTGTAATCATCTTGGCTTTGTGGCATGGGGCGTTATCCTGTTGCAGGATAAAGGATTGTCCAATAAGCCTGTCCTCAGAAGTAAAGGCGTTATCATTTAGAATCGACAAGTATTGGTGTTGGTTCATTGAGCCAGTGACAGGAACAAAGTCACCCAGTCCATTATACGCCAGAACATCACAGAGCCTCCACCATGGCTTATTTTTTGGCAAACGCGCCTCCTTTTTTGCTTTTGTAACATTGGCAATCTTACATAAACTTCTGTTCATAGAACGCTTCTCCAGAACTCCTTTGGCTTATGGAGATGTTGGTTTGCAAAGGACAGTCTTTTGAGCTTGTTTGCTTTTGTTATTTATGGTACGTCCTTGGCCTTATAGGTATTAAAATCACATTATTTTAATCGTCGACGAATTGTGCGCTCACTAATTGGGGTCCTAGCAGTTAAATTAAATTGATCTGCTGCAGATTCAGTCTTCAGAAAAATATTTTTTTTAAATTGCCGTACAATGACTCGGTCTTCACTGATATCTGTTTTACGTTTAGCACCTGACCAGTTTAAATTAAGCATGTCATTATGCTTTTTAAACTTTTTAATTTGGTAGTACACAGTTTGACGCGACATTTTTAACTCATCGGCAATGTCTTTGACTGCTATTCCAGCGTTAAACTTTGTTACCATTGAAGTTTTGGTAACCAAACTTAGCTCAGCCTTGTTACCCGTGTTATTTCATAATTGTTAAGGGGGGAGGTAGGGTCTTTGGCACCAAAAATTCGATTAACTTTGCGATTTAGTCTATTAAAACTGGTTGGATGGATTTAATTCAAACCTTTTGTATACTATTAAGTGACATTTAAGTAACATCCACAAATTGTTATAGCTGATACTATCGGCTAATACATCGGTGGCAAAGCGATTGCTGGAACACTATTAAAAAAGGCGTTTTGCGGTGTTCACTGTACCTCCGCTAAAAATGGTCGGATTTCCATTTTGTTTTTACATTTCGCTTAAGAATTAAAAAAAACCCGCCCCCTATGAAGCCTTTATTTAATTTTTTATTTATAAATTTGACTTTTGGCTTAAAAATAAAATATTTAAAGTTAAACAAGAGAGAACGCTATATTCGGGTGCCCCGACTATCAGATACCCGTTACTCAGCTAAAGGGAGTGCGAGTGGAGATAAAAACTTTGATCCGCCGTAACTTTTTAAAGAATGGTCCGATTTAAAAAATGTCTTCTACATTTCGATAGGTATTCATAAACACAATAATACTGCAATTTTACTTTTCCGAAATATTTAAATTTTCAATATCACTATGGACGGCAGTCCATGTAGTGACGAAGCGCACCAGGAGAGTGTGTGAAGGCGACTACTATTATATAGCCGGAAAATTGAAAATCTGCTGTGATAGTCCGATCGTAATGAGTAGTACACCAATCGAAAGGTATTGCAAAAACTTAAAGGATTGCAAGCCAAGACCTCAAGAAAATCAATTGGTTTGGAAGAGAGAGAGGTGAAAGTGAAAAAGTGAAAATTTCAAATTTTGGAGCTGTTGGGGCCGGTGGGGATAAAAGCGCCTCGCAATGTTTTAGTTGTATTCCTATTGAAAATACCCGTCGAATGAGGGGTCATATGATAAAATCCGAAAATAAAAATTATTACACGTCATTAAATACACTTTCTAAGATTTTCTCATTCGGCACGCTGCAATAGAAAATGCCTATGAAGGTAAAAAGGCTAAAATAGTATGCTAGGGCGGGCCGGATGAGAAAATATTAGAAAGTGTATTTAATGACGAGTGTAATAATTTTTCGTCACAAATGTTGATATCAGAACTTTTGTATGTTGAAGGTGCGATCGTCACTAGTTTTTTACCTCGTTAAGAGGTGTTTTTATTTGATCGTATATAAGCGATTGTGGGCGTTAGAGGGGGCGTGGCATCCTTTTGAAACAAACTTGCGCTGCGTAGGAACTCCTAGAATCTGCATGCAAAATGTCAATCTTCTAGCTTTTAAAGTTTCCGAGATGTCAGCGTTCATACGGACAGACAGACAGACGGACATGGCTATATCGACTCGGCTAGTGACCCTGATCAAGAATATATAATATATACTTTATACAATATACCCTTTTACTCTACAAGTAACGGGTATAAAATAAAAAAAAACGCTTCATAGGGGGCGGGTTTTTTTTTATGCAGAAAAATTTGCGACAAAATTGAAAACGATCGGTTGAGTAGTTTAGAAATGCCGATGAACACAGACTTTCGAAACGTGGTTTAGAGAAAAACGCACTTAAAGATGCACTTTCGTACCTAAAGTCTAAGAGGTTAGAGTACTAATTTTAGCATAACTTCTAAAGTTTTGTCCGATTGACTTAAAACTTTTTTGTACAATCTTAGGATGTTAATCTACAAGAAAAAAATTAAAAATAAATCTTTTTTTTGCATCCATTTTTTGTAATTTATTTTGTAATGGCAATTTTCGCCGCTGCACAGTGGGCCGAAAAAGCCAAAAGTCTGCCTTAAATCAGCGGAGCCCTTTAGCGAATATCTTTTGATGCGGTATTGTTAAAGGCAATTAAATATGTAAAAAAAAACATCATCGGGGGTGTCACAGAAAACCATTCCAACCGAATTTCTCCCGAATAGCAAATCTCGGTGTCATAGACGTCATTTTTGACGGTTTCTAAATCCCCCGTATTTTGCCGGACGTTTTGATAAAATTACCCAACTTACAAATGTTTTCCAAGAATTTTTAAATTTTATTTAAGAAAACTCTAATGAATTTTATGAACTACCTGCATACTACGATTTTTGTACCTACTTCGGTTTATATTTAAAAATATGCTTTTTATAAAACCTCTCGAAAAAATTAGCTACAAAAATCCGTCGGCAAACCGTCTACCTGACAGTGTTACCAATTAGCTAGCACTTTAAAATACCAAATTTGTCCAAAAATTTCGGAGTTAGTTATCGAAATGTTTTGTTAACGAATTATTTATTCAAAGGTACTTAATATTGTAGTTAAAAATGAAACTTATTTCTGGTAAAAATTTTATGGTAAAAGAAGTTGTTTTGTTATTGAGAAATTAATAAAAACAGGCCGCCTTTGCAAAAAGTTGGCATCACTGTCGTGAAAAAATGTCCTATTTTTGCCAGGTAAAACGATGGCTGTGAAGAAGACATACATGTAAAAAAGTACAACATTTTTGTTTATTATTAATTTAAACTAATGAGCTTTGCTAATTTTCAGGGGTAAACATAGGTTACCAGCGCAAGACACCATATTCTTCTGATTCATTCGCGATAATATCGACATTGCCAAAGGATTTACTCAGGGCGGCCGCATTCTTGTGAAAGGACCTGGCCAATGAGTTAAATCTCCATGGTAGTCCATGTAAAACCGTTTGTAAGGATCTCCTCTGCGTCCTAGCCTCTCGCAGTTTATGCCTTCGCAAGTACTCTAGAGCAGACGGCATTTTAGTTCGCCTTTAAAAATCTTGCCAGCTTAGAAATAAAAATAAACCAACGCAGCCGCGGTAAACCGCTGTTAATATGTATGTATAAAAATGTCCTATTTTTGCCAGATAAAATTCCGGCTGTGAAGAAGAAGAAGACATGTAAGTAAAAAAGTACAAAATTTTTGTTTATTACATAGCTCGCAAATAACTGTTGACCGATTCGTGCGGTCCCCAAATAACTGTTTTTCTCTGAGACTTTGAGCAAACAATCAGAGAGCAACCGTTTGAATTGTTCGTACAGAAATTTTGCTCGCACTCAGCCGACGAGCAGTTTTTTCGGCTTTCTTTTGCTCGGCTCGCTTACAGACCGATTGCTCCTGAACGACGTTTCAAAAAGTCTTTTGCGCATGTGTTAACGTTAACGTGCTTGGGCGATATTGCTCTCCCTTTCACTCGCACGTACTTTCAAAGGGAATACATTGTATAGTTGTATTAGTGAAAAGACTTTTTGCGATGACTTTTTCAGTAAATCGGTCTTTTAATAAGTCTCCCTGTGCGAGCGACATTCGTATCTCTCATTGAACGAGGTTCGTAACAGAGCGTCTCACGAACAGCTCAACGTAAAAGGCTCAACCGAAAACCAAAACGAAAGGAAACGAAGTGTGCTGCGCAGAGAGAGAACGAGGGGCATGCTATTTTTCGGTTGTTCTCGGGAGTAGAGCGTAAGGAAAAAAACGGTTAACAGTTATTTGCATGCTTTGGTTTATTATTATTAAACTAATAAGCGTTGCCCTGAATAAGCAGATTTGGTATGGGAGCAGTACCGGAACCGGAACCGAAATAAGATTCGGTTTGGTTCCCTGAAAATAAGCCAAAACAACTTTTTTGAAAATGGGAAAAATAAACTTAAACCCTTAACTATTTTTAAAAATGTTTAATTTTTTTTTGTGTAAAATTAAAAAAAAAATGTATTAAAAATTATTTGTAAAATTTGACGATTTTTTTTAGTAAATTAGGCCAAAAGTTTCTTCAAACGTAACCATTTTAATACCCGTTACTCGTAGAGTAAAAGGGTATATTGCATTCGTGCAAAATTATGTAACAGGGAGAAGGAAGCGTTTTCGACCCTATAAAGTAAATATATTCTTGATCAGGGTCACTAGCCGAGTCGATCTAGCCATGTTCGTCTGTCCGTCTCTCCGTCTGTCCGTCTGTATGAACGCCGAGGTCTCGGTAACTACAAAAGCTAGAAGGTTGAGATTATCAACACATATTCTTGGGCTTCCTACGCAGCGCAAGTTTATTTCAGCCGAGCGCCACGCCCCCCCTATCGCCCACAATCGCCCACTAACAATTTAAAAATGTGTCTGGCGCCCACACCTTTAAAGATTTTTTAAATCGGACCATTCGTTAAAAAGTTATACGCAATCAAAAAAAAGTTTTAATATCCATCTCCCTCGCACTCCCTTTGGACGAGTGACGGGTATTAGATAGTCGGGACAACAACCCGACTATAGCGTTTTCTCTTGTTTTTAGTAAATTAGTCCAAAAGTTTATTCAAACGTAACCAAACGTAACCATTTGTATACCCTTGCAGAGGGTATTATAATTTCAGTCAGATGTTTGCAACGCAGTGAAGGAGACGTTTCCGACCACATAAAGTATATATATTCTTGATCAGCACCAATAGCCGAGTCTATCTAGCCATGTCCATCTGTCCGTTTCTATGCGAACTAGTCTCTCAGTTTTAAAGCTATCGCGATGAAACTTTCCCGAAAGTCTTATTTCTATTGCAGGTAGTACATATGTCGGAGCGAGCCGGATCGGACCACTATATCTTAAGGCTCCTATAGGAATATTCAAACAAATATCAGAAAATTCATTGTAACTTTGTAGAAAGTAGGCGTTTTGATTCTTGACTACTTAAAAACAAAGTTTAAATAAATAGAAACGCTGAGTCTGGAATCCCTGGAACTGCACCGAGTGAGCATTCTATTATCTGCAAGGGTACATAAGCTTCGGCTGGCCGAAGGTAGCTTCCTTTCTTGTTCACCCTAAAACACCCTAAAAAACAAGAAAAACTAAAAAATTGCAAATATTGTACTCATTTTTGGTGTGGTCCTCGTGGTGCCTGCCCTGCATTTAAACGACCCAGAATTGACCGTCTAAGGACATTTTTAATTATACTTTTTAAGGATTTTCTTCCAAAAAACTTTTGCAGGTGAAACGTGATGCTATTTTTGGCAATTCCCCTAAAGGAATGTCCAATTATGCACTTTGTAAGCAATCTAAGCCTCACTGTTCCTGCTATATACAAAAAGGTTAGAATTCTGCACATTTCTTGCAAAACAATGTTACAGGACTTTTCGTTGGACATTCCTTTAGGGGAATTGCCAAAAATAGCATCACATTTTGCCGATATTACCGATTAACGGGAGAAAACTGCGTCAAAAATGCCATCACCATACAAATCACCTGCAAACGTTTTTTGGAAGAAAATCCTTAAAAAGTATAATTAAAAATGTCCTTAGACGGTCAATTCCGGGTCGTTTAAATGCAGGGCAGGCACCACGAGGACCCCACCAAAAATTAGTTCAATAACTTTAGCCGTTTTCAAGCTATAGCTATAAGTCAAATAATTGTTTGCATTTTGCAAACAATTTATTGACAGCCTAATATTTGCAATTTTTTAGTTTTTCTTGTTTTTTAGGGTAAAAAATGAATATATTTTAATGCAATCGGAAAGATAATAGTTTAATAAATAACATTCCAAAAGAAAAAAATTAAAAAATCTAGTATTTGCTTGTACATTTCACATCTAAAAACGAATTTCTATGCCATTTTCTCTTTTGCAAACAATTACTTGACAAACTGTATGTACATATGTGCATATACACATACATACTTCGCAAGGATAATTAAGGTAGACATAGACAAATGCATAACATATATACAAAAGTATATCGAAAGATTTATGTATTCGTAATTTGCGTACACGGTATTCTTATTATTAAAATTTATATTTTGGAATTTCAAACAGATAAACATAAAACCAAACGTCTTTGGTAGGAACAAATTCCTTAAAATGAAGTATTATTCATTTTATATTTATGTATATTCGACAAAGCCAACAACTCATGAAGATATGTATCATTGTGATAAAACCATAATTAAATACTTTTTTTCAATTTTAAATTCGTTCCTTTTTGTTTGTAATTGAATCCAACACCATTAAAAAAAACTGTAAAGCATCGCTAGGATTTCGATTTATGCACTTATTCCTAAGCCATGTGACAAATCTGATCATTTCGTCTGCATATATACATATGTATGTATAATTCATATTCATATGTACATATAAGAGATATAACATACCTGCCAATTGTTTTTTTAACAGTAAAGATGACTGAAGTTCAGACATAGTAAATTGCAAAACAATTATGTAAATAGCCTTAATGAAACGCACAATGAATTTACACAAACACAAATTTTATATTTAAAACCCCGCAAAAGTAAATACAAAAATCGATCAACAGAATTTTCTTTAAAGGCTAAACATAAAATTGAACAGGAGTGATACGAAACACAGCAAACTATTGCGGAACGATGAATAAGAACATGAACAAATATAATAGGACACGTCCACCAATAATGCGGTTATTCCACGACATTGTCCGGTTCATTCATTAGAGCCATTTGTTCAGCCTATACGATTTGACGTAGGTGCGAGCAGGACAGACATTAATGAGCAATTAATGATAAAAATTGTAATGACCGATGGGCACTTTTGGTATTTCTTTTGGTATTATAAAATAACTCTATACGGTACTACATGGACCGATGAGCAATGAGCAAAATGGAATCTAAAAAGTTACAATTTTCAAATTTCAGCGTCCTAATTACTCCGAACTAAAAATATCGCTCACATTTCAAAATTAAGAACTTACTTCGTCTATAAATTATTAGTCCATCCGTTTGAAACGGTTGGGATTTTTGACGTATGTGAAACTCGTGTTGCCACAGAACAGCTGCCACAGCTGTATCTATTGTTCATTGTATGCTTTAATTTCGGTTTAATGCGTTTTCATGGGGACATTTTATTGGATTTCTTATACTAATAAAACCGAACTTTTGATTTCATTATCTACTCCTAAATGTTGTCAAATTTTGAATAAGTCATGGCAACCTGTAGGACTAAGAAAATAAATACGTTCAGTGAACATTAGGGCGGTCCAAAAAATGAAATTCTTTTCTCACCCCTTAACATGGTATATTAAAGTATGCAAAAAATGTATGTGAAAACAAAAAATTTTTTTTTCGAGATTTAGACCTTGCGAAACGTCTTCAAAGTTTGCTTTAAAATTACTCATACGACATGTATAACAGTACGAATTTGGTCGAAAAAAATCGCTCTCCCATTTCTTGTCTTGTCAAATTATGTATTTCTTTGGAATAATTGTTAAAAAAAAGGAGAGCAAAACATCAACTGAATTGTTGATATCTATGCCACCTTTTTGATCGAAGGCAACACTGCGTATGGGTGATAAACTTTGAAACCAATTCGCAGACCCTAAAACACGATTTTTTAAAAATTGTCTTTTGGTATACCTTGAATACCCCAATGCGCACCGTATAAGCGGGTGAGAGTAGGCCCTTAAAAATTTTCATACAAATGTGGACCGCCCTAGTGAACATACATAGAGACATTTACTCCCATTCTGTAGGATGCCTTGACTTTTTTAAAATTTGACAACATTTAGCAGTAGAAAAAACGGTTTTAGTAGTATAATAAATTCAATAAAAAATATCCTCATGAAATCGATTTAAACCGAAATTAAAGAATAAAATAAAATTAGTTCCATTTAAGATTTAATTCTCAGAATTGTTTTTTCATCACTGAAATTGTGAAAATTTTGGGAGTTTCAACTTTGGCGTCGAATTCCAAAGACATAGACAATGGTTCACGATGGGGACTTATTTTTAGTAGTGCCGTGATGTATTGAGATAAGGTCCTACCGAAAATAATAAAGGTTGGACCAATTATATAGGCCACGTAATTCAAAATGTCGGCAAACATCGGTTTTTTGTAGCTATACAGCGGAACCTGTAGGTGATGGAAAATAATTTTGCATGGGAATTTTACTCAGGAGCACCCAAATATCATGGAAAAATGGTTCGTGGAAATTTTACAAAGTTTAATTTTGTGTCCCTGTGTAATCGAGGGATACGTTTATAAACGAATGGGCTTCACATCAAATGATGCCATAAGAGATTACAGAGCTTGGATCTACGATCTGATCTGGTTTATAAGACGCATCATGCTATCACAGCCGGACACGGAGGATTACATAAGACCCTTGCAGGACTTAGACAGTTTAACTACTGGCCGTCTATGACCAACGACGTGCAGAAAGTAGTAACTGAATGTGAAATCTGCAAAGTCATAAATCCACCAAAACAACAAGACCTCCAATGGGTAACCAACAGGTTACCGAAAGGCCAGTGCAAAGGTTGGACATTGACTTTATGGGCCCGTATCCCCGAACCAAAACTGGAAACACAGTAATATTCGTATGCTTTGATCATTTTTCGAAATTCGTATGGCTACAACCAATGCGACAAGCCGTTTCTGCCGAAGTCATCAAATTTTTGGAAACCCATATATTTCACCAATTTGGCGTACCTGAATTTATACATTCAGACAATGGTAAGCAGTTTGTTGCGCAAGCTTTCACTGAACTCCTTGATAAATATGGTATACGACACGTGAGAACAGGGTTCTACTCCCCTCAAGCCAACGCGGCTGAAAGAGTAAACCGTTCAGTACTCCAGATGTTACGAGCAACAATCGCACAAGATCAGCGAAATTGGGATGTACAATTAAGCCGAATTACTTGTACTCTCAGAAGTGGATTACATGAGTCCATCGGCATGGAACCATACTATGCGATGTTTGGAACACGCATGATCACACATGGGAATGCGTACACCATACTGGGAGGCATTCGCCCACAAACGAGCTGAAAAGGCATATAACACCCGCTGTAGGAAGCATGGCAATTCCTTGTATGAATTGGGAAATACCACCGGGAAGAGTATCGGGGTCTACCATGCTAAAGACCTTTTCACAGCGTGATCCAATATCATAATTGGAGGATTTCAAAAATTGTTTCTTCTTATCTGGTGAGAAAAAAAATTAGAAACGGAAAAGCAAAGTAAGCAGATTATGAACATCGGAGTTCAAATCCCAGGAAAGGGGGTACTGCCTACGGGTGGAAAGGAAGCTTCGTCCAAAACTAAACAGCTATATAAGGAAAGACATAATATCAGAACATATACACAAAAGAGAACTTAACATATATTTTCAACAAAAAAAAAAAAAAAAGGACAATGTGGGCGGAAAACGTTTAACTATCCGAAGATGAGATCCAGGAGTCTACGCGGATCCGGGACGGAAATCGCGAGGCACAGGAGAGGCTTATGCAGACACTAACAAAACATATTGAATTGGTACAAGCAGAGCTTGACCAAATGCTGGAGATCGATCGATGGACCCGGTACTTGCGAGCAAGACGTCAGGATTTCGCTCGCTGTGCAGGACATCGCCAGCGGCGAGGCGTAAGCCTCGCCATAAAGAAACGCTGGAGTGCCCTCCGGCAAATGAAAAGTTTGAAGGAGGACCAGGCGTTAATAAGGGAGCTTGTCCATGAAGCGAGGGCTCTCGTGGACGAATTCCACGATAAAAGGAGTGCTCTTAACCAACGGAGTCTACTCCTGACTCGGCTAAAGAGAGAAGAGGAACGATTGTTGGCGAGACGGCCACAAGATGAAGCGCCAGCCGGAGGATGACAGCAATATAAATAGTTTGTAATATACATATACAGCCGAAGCTTATATACCCTTGTAGATAAAGTAATGCTCACTCGGTGCAGTTCCAGGGATTCCAGATTCAGCGTTTCTATTTTAATTTTGTTTATACATAGTAGTCAAGAATCAAAACGCCTACTTCCTACAAAGTTACAATGAATTTTCTTATATTTCTTTGAATATTCCTATGGGAGCCTTAAGATATAGTGGTCCGATCCGCCTCGCTCCGACATATGTACTACCTGCAATAGAAAGAAGACTTTCGGGAAAGTTTCATCGCGATGGCTTTAAAACTGAGAGACTAGTTCGCATAGAAACGGACAGACGGACAGACAGACAGACGGACAGACGGACATGGCTAGATAGACTCGGCTCTTGGTGCTGATCCAGAATATATATACTTTATGTGGTCGGAAACGTCTCCTTCTCCTTGTTTGCAAACATCTGACTGAAATTATAATAACCTCTACAAGGCTATAAAAAGAAATAAGAAAAGAAACAAAAACTCATGTTTAAAATTATGCAATAGCCCGGCTAGCTCAGTCGGTAGAGCAGGAGACACTCAGGGTATGGGTCGAGGCCACACATTAAAGGTCGCCACACTCGCAGATTTTGTGCTTCTTCTTACGAAACCATTCCATAATAAATTCACATCGAAGATTTCGAGCCTGTTACATCTACCAAGTGTGACAGCATCATCCGATGAAGACAACAATCAATTATGTAATTGATCATGCAGACAGCAGGTGCAAAAACAATAAGGTCACGTGGGAACCACTGTTGTCAATTACGTATAGAATATCTAACCCCACCTGCTAAGTTACATAATTGCCGTGGAAGACGCTAAGCATGCAGAAAAGTTCCACGTGGCCGTCGGCACGCGCCGAATGCAGAAACAAGAAGATGACACCTATGGTGAACAGATAAATGCACTTGCGTGGCCTGATTTAAATACCGCTGACACACGGAAATTGGACACTTTGCAGGCGGATACACCGGCGTTGCACTCTAACTTCACCATGGGGGAGTTCAAGCTGGGTGCATAGATGAGAAGGGATTCTGGATGGAACGGGAATTTTAATAAGAACGATGGAATTCACCTCGTTCCGATCTTAGTCCCTGAAACCCTTTATAAAGAGCCGCATGTGCAAAGGGAAGTCAGAAAAAGAATCGGGCTAAAAGTGAACCGTGAACCTAAAAGTGAAAAGTGCTAAGTTAACAGGATAGAAGAGGCAGGATCCTAGGAAAGGCATAAGAACATTCTTAAGGACATTCTTAGTCTTCTTGGAAAAAGGACGAAGCCAATCCTGACAATAGTCCTGCCAAAAAGGACTAAAGGATCCAGGAACAAGAAAGACAAAAGAAAAACAATATATAGTTGGTTCTGGCTAAACATATGCAATATGGGAGGAAAGTCCTCTAAGGCCGACAACGACTCAGCTAACGTTGTCAACAATGTTCAAGTAGTTGATCACACAGAACAGATTGATAAACTATACAACGTCCTGATCATTATTGCTGTCCATTTGCTCCTTAATGTGGCTATGAATGCATATGTAATGCACAAGCGCAATTTTAGGAAGAAATACACAGTGAACAATAGTGATATCGAACGCGCTCTGGGCTTAAATACCATTTCGCAGCAAAAGGTAAAATCAAAAAAAAAAAAAAAAAATTATACCATAACATTAACAAACTATGGGAGGAAAGAACTCCACGGACATAGATCCTAATTGCCAAATAGAAATAATAGACCACAATCAACAAATCGCGGAAGTGTTCTATATTCTCGTTTTTATTGCCGTGCTCCATTTAATCCGAATCGCGATGAACATCCAAGCATTGCGAAAAGTACAACACAATCATCCGTTTGCAGTATAAGTGTGCCGAGAAGATAAGTGCACGAAACAGTAAACCGCCAATGGCGCCAAAGTATAAACCCATTGACACAACGAAATCGGAGTGGAGTGAAAAACTAAACGAAAAACGCTCGATCGGCGAAATTATATATTGTTTTTTTTGTTGTGCGAACTTAATCTCAATCATACGTATAACTTAGTGTAATAAGTGAAGTATAACCACATATTGGTACTCCAAAAGAGTGAAGACGTGCACAAATATATGATTTATTATTTCTTATTTATATATATTTGTGCATATAAAGAATACATATTGTTAACTACGAAAGTTATTGCTAAAACTTATGAGAAGGATTCAGATTTCAATAGTCGATCCGAATATGTTTCAATGAAATGTTCACTTACAATATCTATTTATGAATTCGAACCAAAATATATGGATTTATACGATCTAGATTTTTCTTCGATTAACCATTGCACTAACACTCAGAAAGCGATTGTTATATCTACCCTTCCGTTTGCCAAGGTATATTCTGTCATTGAAGAAAATCAATTTCTCGGGAGAATTATGAAGTTTGTAATTGCTCGTAAATAATAAGTTCCGCGAATCAAATATTTACTTTCGTAGATTATTTTAAAGAATATTATCTTAATAAGTAAGTAAATTTAATTATTAAGCAATCTTAAATACTTATACTTTTAAATTATACCTTAAATATTAAGTACCTCCAATTAACCTATATCTGTAATAATATTAAGCATTTATATAATAAGAGCATGTTAATATAATTTAGTTCTAACTGAGTAAGCTAACTACAATTAATGAGTTCTAATTATTAGCATACATTTTATATTATTAAGCACTATTTAGTTAATTTACTTTATTACCCTTTAATTAATTTTAACTACTTTTATTATCCATGTTAATCATATGTATAGGTAACATTTCGATAATATTGTAAACTCTGTATTTCGTTTTTCTATTAAATAAAATTTGGTTTTTAGCGGGTGGTATCAAATATAAGCAGCCCACAGAGTGACCTCTTTGTCGTGAATAGTCTGCACATCTTTTTTGCTGACGAGCGCACTTTTACAAGCGATCAATTCGATACTTTCCGTAAAAAAAAATAAATGACAAGTGTCTTTGGTTCCTACATTGTCATTAATTGGTAATGCCAGTGTCTTTATTACTTTACTTTATGATTTATTTCAACATATATTTATTAAAATTTATCGTGTGAAGGAAAGTCTCAACATGAGTTGCTAGGTTCACGTTTAAAAGGGGGTGCTGATTCCACAAGTGAAGTAGGTCTAGAATAATGACGACGACTTCTTGACAGACGACATTAACATTAGGGGATCAGATTGCAAGGCTATCACTGATCCAACGGCAAACGATTTCTGAAAGGGGAGGGTAACAGCCACAAGCTGCCGATCGTATTTCGATTAAGTGCTCGAGTTTGCTACTTGGGAAACTTACGGGCAGCAAGACAGATAACAGACGAAACAGACGATCTATATTATTTTTTTTCCCAGGCACTTTTAATAATTCTTTCAGATTGTACGAGTATACACACTTAAGAACAAGAGTAGGCAGCGAGAGGGAAAACATATGTTTAAAGCTCGCTGCCCGATATACATACATTCTTGTTACATATAAAGATATTGTTACCGAGCAGATTATGTTATGCTTACTGTTAAATACAATTTCAACACTTTTGCTTAAGCTATACATGATCTGCGCTATCGGAATCTACTAGTCCAAGGGCTCTAACAAATTTACAATGCTTTTGTTTACATAAACCTTTTGTTAACAAATCTGCAACATTTTCTTCTGTAAATACATGTTTTAAATTGATTTCGTTGCTCTCAACTTTTTCTCTTACATAATGAAACATTATGTCTATTTGTTTGGTACGCTTATGATGGATCGGGTTTCTTGCAATATGATGTAGGATTGCTTGTCGGTTGGCTTGAAAATGTTTCGGCCCAAAAGTAGGCAACGGAATTTGGCCAGAACGATTTTGGACGGGGATAAGTCTCTTGAGCCAAAATTCCGAAAATTTCACCAAAGTGGTGAGCGAGGTCGTACTCAGGGTCCCGACCCGAAGGCAATTTCGTTTAGATTTACACCAAAATTACCAGTGGATCGAAACACAAGTTAGTTGCAAGTGCAGTGAAGATCAAAGTTATACAAATTAAAGGAAAGCCAAAATTACCCAAAATTCCCAGCAATCGCCGTTGCAAGTTGCATAGAAACAAAAAACAAGTGCTAAAGTGCCAACCCCTAGTGGGTAAGTTTTTTGAGTGCGAGAAGGTGTTAAAACGGTGTTTGAACGCCCTAATGTTTTTAGGTGGCACCTAATTACATAACCTCTGTGCGCTAGAAGCCAAGCTTGGTGGAAGAAGTGGGAAAGGCCAACCGGAATCAATCGCAAACTGGCAACCAATCGACCCATCTACCGATCAACCTCCAATCAACCAGCAGCAGCAGAATCCGAGCTCCCGCAGCAGCAGAACATAGCGCCGAAAATTTGATTTTTATTATCTACATATTTTTTTATACTTTCTACATCAACGTTTATATGTTGTAGAAAAGCCCACTAGCCAACAAAATTTAGGCCATACAGTCCACATGCCGTAGGGAAATAAAGCCCCAGAAAGAAATGAAATTTTGAATTAACCATCCTTGGAAATACGAAAGCAATTCTAATTACATTTAGAACTTAAAGTAACGAATTTTACGCGGCAGTTTACGCCGCTAGGAGCAGAGCAACAGCAGCAATTTAGGTTAAGTAGTTTAAGAGTATAATTTAAATGAAGAGAGAAGGTCAATAACATGAAAATTATGCATTAGAGCAGAACAGTCCCTTCTTCCCGTTTTCGTTTCCCTTCCCTCTCCCATGTTTTAACCACTAAAGATCAGTTAAAGTAAATTGTGAGAGAACCGTACCGCTTTAGATTGCGTGAGTAGTTGATATTCTCTTCCACAGGCCCGTCGAGAAGCGCTTCATCGAGGGAAAAACAAAGTGAGTTAATTGCAACGTCTTACTCTTACAGAATTTCAACTACCTTAAAAAAAAAAAATAAGAATAAATAAAGCCGACTCAAGCAGTCTAAGGGAATTAAAGTCATCAAAAAAAAAAAAAAAACAAATATGAAAATTTAAATCTTTAAAATGCTATACTGAGAAAAAAAACTACATCCAATTTCGTAAATTTTCTCCCATAAAACCCTACCCAACTCCCTGCTCAATAAAATAAAATTTTAAGTCTCACATATAATGGCATAATTTAACATACTTACATTCTACCCATTCTACCCGCTCTCTACATTTGTACATTTATATACATGAACTCAGAAATATTCAGCGATCGCTAAATTTAATTTTTAGTCATTAAATTCGCATTTTTAATTTCAAGCTAAATGTTAATCAGTTCTTAGGTTCCTAATGAACTTGTTTAGAATTAATTTTTGTTATTTAATAGGATTATTCTATGTTTAAAAATAAAATTTATAATGTTATCTAAAGTTGAGTAGAGTCAATAGGGAAGCCATGCGTCGTCGAATGTTATCTGTCGTGTAAAGTGTAGTCGCCTTTTAGGGATCGCCATAAATGTATCTGGACGATGGTGATCATGGTAGGGAGGGCAAGTCAGCTTGAACAACCGCTGACATAAAGGCACTACATCCTTGTCCGTCCTTGTCTGTCCTTTGCTAGTCAATAGTCCGGTCCATTAGTCCTGCGGAGATCCTCGTACCCTTTAGCACGCGAAGTAATAAGATTTTGTTGTTCGTCTATGGAGCAAGTAGCAGCGTTCCTAAAACCTATCCCCGACCCCCCTCTACTGGTAACTCATGCCGGAACCAGCGCGTGCTCAACGTAGGCTACAAATTACACCAGCTCTCGAAACGTAGTTCGCTACAGTATTCTAATAAATAACAATAAACTTATTTGGCGCCCAAACGTGTGTGGCGTGATTCTGTCATGGCGACAGTTCGATCCGGCAAGGCCAAATCCATTAAAAAAATATTTTAAAACCGTCAGTAACATCAGACGTTAGTCAAGAGAATCTCCACGGCATTCATCCTCTAGATCAGGTGCGGCGAGGAGTGATTTACAAATCAAAACTCCTTGCATACTATTAGGCTGCTGGAAAAGTTTTAGCTATTTAGCTTTAACGCCGCTACCTAATTAGACTTACGCATAGGGCGTTGTTTATTGGCTTAATAAATTTGCCATCCCGTCTTTTAGCGTAGGAAGTATTAATTTTTTGTTGTACTGAAGTCTAATATGGAATTGTACAGAACACTTGTTGCCGGTTGCCTGGTGTATCTGGTATAGTCTGTGTTTTATGCGAAGTTCAGTAATTTCATTAATACAAGATGTTAAATGTAAGATTAAGAGTCTGTTTTCGAGAATCTGAACAATAGGAGCCGGATGTTGCCGTTTTGCCATGCGGTGAACCGATTAAGTAGGTATTTTCGTTAATAGATCGTCATCTGAAAACGACATCTTCCACTTGTAATTCCATTTTATTATTAAAAATTTTAGAGTCAATAGTATTAAAGTTCATTAACGACAGGACTTAGCAGGACAAGGAACTTTACAAAAAGATAGCAGAAAACGATTGCATGGCACCCCAAATTTTGAAAGTTTTATTTTGATTTTTTTTTCGATTATTTATTTATTTATTTATGTTTTGTTTACTTATTATTTTTGCTTACGATTATTTATTTATTTTATTTATTTATTTTTATTATTAGGTAGATATTTTTTCAATTATTATTGCAAGATTCCGGAGCTGTAGGTTTTGTTGAAATGTCCCTAGCACACAGCACAGAAGATCTAACTAAAATAGTAGAAAGTTTGTCAATTCTGCGTAAAAGTTAGCCGTTGATTTTCCAACTAAACCTTCTGGCTCGAAAAGTGAAACTCCAAGAGTGCCGCTTAACGCTAGTCGAAATCACAATGTCAAATTCTAATAGTTTAGACCAGGCTCTAGTCCAGACTGGACCGCCAAAGGATTTTCAAACTGCTATGGTTCAAAGTATAAGTCAAGCCATTTCACAGGCTATAGCGGAGGCGATGGCCCAGCAAACAAAAGAGCTTGTTAAATTGGTAGACCAAGAGACCGAAAAGATCACTAAAGCGTTTACAGAAGGTCTTAAAAAACGAAATCAAAATCAATTCCCCAATCAGATAGTACTAGATCCGATCGAGAACCAGGCTAATATTGCTCAGCAGACACCACAACATGTAGATTCGATCGAGAACCAGGTTTATGCAGATCCGCAAGTACAACGAAACATAGATCCGATCGAGAACCAGGTTTATGCAGATCCGCAAGTACAACGAAACATAGATCCGATCGAGAACCAGGCTTATGCAGCTCAGCAGACACCACAAAATTTAGATCGAAGTTTGAGGGGCAATCAATCGCCTGCCTCAGTCCCGAGTTTGATGAGCTCTGATCAAATTGCCCAAATCATGTGTAGCTGGAAGCTACGCTTCTCAGGAAAAGGCTCAATGACCATCGACGACTTTATATACAGAGTCGAAGCGTTAGCGGGACTAACATTGCAGGGTAATCTTGAGCTAATGGCTCAAAACGCTAATATATTGTTTGAGGGAATTGGGAGCGATTGGTACTGGCGGTATCACAAAAGTGTTTCTGAGGTGCGTTGGTATGAGTTGTGCGCAGCTTTAAAGGGCCAATTTAAGGATAATCTAGCTGATCGAAGTATTAGGGCGGAATTAGAGCAGAGGAAACAACGCGAAAATGAATCGTTTGATAACTTTTATACGGTAATTTCATCGCTCTCAGATAGACTGTTGCAGCCCATGACTGGCCAATCAATGGTAGAAATACTACGGCATAACCTTCTTCCGGAAATACAACGCGGGTTACTGTATGAGTCGGCTAACTCTGTATCAGAATTGAGAAGCCTTGTGAGAGCCCGTGAAATATTAATGAAAATTTTAGGAAAATATTCAGGAACCATACAGCAGCCTTCACAAAAGCGCCATTGCTCGGCAAGTCAATACCAAATAGAACCTAAGCCAGATTTCGTAGGCTCGGATAAAGATCAAGAGTTAGCAGCGATGAATAGGTCTTCTTGGTATTACAATGAGAGAGGGCCTCAGGCAGTGGAAATTACCGACAAGCTGGTATCTCCCTTGTGGCAATAGCTCACCCCAAGTGAGATTTTGGTGGGGGGGAACTGTAGGATTGCTTGTCGGTTGGCTTGAAAATGTTTCGGCCCAAAAGTAGGCAACGGAATTTGGCCAGAACGATTTTGGACGGGGATAAGTCTCTTGAGCCAAAATTCCGAAAATTTCACCAAAGTGGTGAGCGAGGTCGTACTCAGGGTCCCGACCCGAAGGCAATTTCGTTTAGATTTACACCAAAATTACCAGTGGATCGAAACACAAGTTAGTTGCAAGTGCAGTGAAGATCAAAGTTATACAAATTAAAGGAAAGCCAAAATTACCCAAAATTCCCAGCAATCGCCGTTGCAAGTTGCATAGAAACAAAAAACAAGTGCTAAAGTGCCAACCCCTAGTGGGTAAGTTTTTTGAGTGCGAGAAGGTGTTAAAACGGTGTTTGAACGCCCTAATGTTTTTAGGTGGCACCTAATTACATAACCTCTGTGCGCTAGAAGCCAAGCTTGGTGGAAGAAGTGGGAAAGGCCAACCGGAATCAATCGCAAACTGGCAACCAATCGACCCATCTACCGATCAACCTCCAATCAACCAGCAGCAGCAGAATCCGAGCTCCCGCAGCAGCAGAACATAGCGCCGAAAATTTGATTTTTATTATCTACATATTTTTTTATACTTTCTACATCAACGTTTATATGTTGTAGAAAAGCCCACTAGCCAACAAAATTTAGGCCATACAGTCCACATGCCGTAGGGAAATAAAGCCCCAGAAAGAAATGAAATTTTGAATTAACCATCCTTGGAAATACGAAAGCAATTCTAATTACATTTAGAACTTAAAGTAACGAATTTTACGCGGCAGTTTACGCCGCTAGGAGCAGAGCAACAGCAGCGTAGTATAATTTAAATGAAGAGAGAAGGTCAATAACATGAAAATTATGCATTAGAGCAGAACAGTCCCTTCTTCCCGCTTTCGTTTCCCTTCCCTCTCCCATGCTTTAACCACTAAAGATCAGTTAAAGTAAATTGTGAGAGAACCGTACCGCTTTAGATTGCGTGAGCAAGGCGAGCGAGAGCAACTTAGCTCTCTTAAGTAGTTGATATTCTCTTCCACAGGCCCGTCGAGAAGCGCTTCATCGAGGGAAAAACAAAGTGAGTTAATTGCAACGTCTTACTCTTACAGAATTTCAACTACCTTAAAAAAAAAAAAATAACAATAAATAAAGCCGACTCAAGCAGTCTAAGGGAATTAAAGTCATCAAAAAAAAAAAAAACAAATATGAAAATTTAAATCTTTAAAATGCTATACTGAGAAAAAAAACTACATCCAATTTCGTAAATTTTCTCCCATAAAACCCTACCCAACTCCCTGCTCAATAAAATAAAATTTTAAGTCTCACATATAATGGCATAATTTAACATACTTACATTCTACCCATTCTACCCGCTCTCTACATTTGTACATTTATATACATGAACTCAGAAATATTCAGCGATCGCTAAATTTAATTTTTAGTCATTAAATTCGCATTTTTAATTTCAAGCTAAATGTAAATCAGTTCTTAGGTTCCTAATGAACTTGTTTAGAATTAAATTTTTGTTATTTAATAGGATTATTCTATGTTTAAAAATAAAATTTATAATGTTATCTAAAGTTGAGTAGAGTCAATAGGGAAGCCATGCGTCGTCGAATGTTATCTGTCGTGTAAAGTGTAGTCGCCTTTTAGGGATCGCCATAAATGTATCTGGACGATGGTGATCATGGTAGGGAGGGCAAGTCAGCTTGAACAACCGCTGACATAAAGGCACTACATCCTTGTCCGTCCTTGTCTGTCCTTTGCTAGTCAATAGTCCGGTCCATTAGTCCTGCGGAGATCCTCGTACCCTTTAGCACGCGAAGTAATAAGATTTTGTTGTTCGTCTATGGAGCAAGTAGCAGCGTTCCTAAAACCTATCCCCGACCCCCCTCTACTGGTAACTCATGCCGGAACCAGCGCGTGCTCAACGTAGGCTACAAATTACACCAGCTCTCGAAACGTAGTTCGCTACAATGATGAGAGCTGATGTTGTCTCCGAAGATAGTTATTGGTTCTTGGTTTGGCCAACCCATATCCCCCAGCAATCTTCTAAGGTATATTGCCTCTCTAGCTGCAGTTGACAGGGCAATATATTCCGCTTCTCTGCTGCTCAAAGCAACGACGCTCTGCTTCGTTGCAGACCATGAGAACGCAGCGCCAGCCAGGAAGAAAGCATATCCAGAGCAAATCCCATTACTGATCCTCCAGACTTCTTGTAGACAATACTCAAGTTTGATGTCCCCGCTAAATATCGCAACAAGTGTTTAGCTGCAGACTCGTGCTCGATGTGCGGATCAGTGTTACGCTGGGATAGCTTGCTTACGGCATGTACAATGTCAGGTCGGCTCAAAACGGCTAAATACATGAGAGAACCGATTAGACCGCAGATATCTTGCTTTTGACCACGTTGATGTCCTCCTCACTTGGGCAAATGATGATAAGATCATCCACGTATACGCAGTGTTGGGACATACCTAGATACTTTTACCTAGGTACGTACCTAGGTACAATTTAGTGGTACCTTTTACCTTACCTAGGTATAAAAATAATTGAGTACCTTTTACCTTACCTAGCTACAGATTTTTATATACCTTTAAAAATATTAAGGTACTTACATAGGTATTAAACATTGCTCTGATTTAAAATAGCCAAATCTGACTGCGACACTGTAGTATCGTTTCATTGCATCGAAATTGTAATAGTCGGAACGCAGCATTAAAAGTCATTGGAATTCAGCCGTTCTATTGTTTGTTTTGTGAAGTTAAAACTAATCGCAGTTTTATTTTATTTAATTTTGTGCACGTATGTATGTTCCCATCACTACATCAATTTATTTATGAAACCAAAGTATATTTGGCGCGCAAAAATGTCGTATGTACGTAAACAAACGGCATATACATATGCACAATATATAGTCAATGTTTCTACATACGAAATTTTTGCGCGCCAAATATGTACATGAGGGTTTCATAAATACATTAATGAAGTGATACGTGCATACAATTATTCATGCCGCGTGTTTTAAAAATATATGCACAAAATTATAACATTTAAATTTAAATGAAATGAAAAGATGTTTGATTAAGACGACTAAAAACTGAAAACTAGTCTTATTTTAAGTAACAAAACAAAAAATTATAAAAAATAAAAAAACAATATATTTACCTTTTACCTTTACCTAGGTACTGGGAAATTGAAGTACTTTTACCTTACCTAGGTATTTATTTTTGCTCAATATCTTTTACCTTACCTAGGTAAAAAAACATAGTACCTTTCCCAACACTGCGTATACGGCTATGTTGCTGTATGTGTTCTGACTTTCTTTGATGTATAAACAAGGTTCGTTTCTGCTTCTGTTGAATCCAATCCTCTGCAGGGCTTCATCTAATGTGCTGTTCCATGCACGTCCAGATTGCTTTAGCCCATATATCGCTTTTCGTAGCTTTAATACACAGTTGGGGTTGCGGTTGTCAACAAAGTTCGAAGGTTGTTTCATATACACGTCTTCATGTAGCTCGTCATTCAAGTATGCGTTTGATATATCAACCTGATGCATATTCAGCTGCTTTTCTACGGCTACAGCGAATAGCATTCGTAAAGTTTCATATCGGATTACAGGAGAATATGTTTCCTAGTAGTCTATACCAAACTGTTGTCCGCAACCTTTCGCTACCAGTCAAGACTTAAACCGTTTGATTTCGCCATCCTTGTTTCTTTTGATGCGAAACACTCATTTTGATCCGATGGCCCTCTTCCCCCTTGGGCAGAAATGTCAATGACCAAGTCCCGTTGGCCACGAGCGCATCCATCTCTGCTTGCATTGACGTCTTCCAGTGTTTGCTGTACTGGCCACACAGTGCTTCGTCTGCTGTGTTCGGAGTTTCGGCGTCTTGAAGGCTGTTTAGGTTGTTGAGCATTTGGAAATCCTTCTTCGGTCTGCCAGGGTTGCCCGTCCTATTTATTTTCGGCCTTCCAGGACCCCGACAAACTGCATTTTGTGAGGATATCGGCATATTTTCGTCCTGGTTTGGGACTGCCTCGCTGTGTACTTCATTCTGCTCATCAGGATCACTTGCGCTGACAAATATATCCTCCTCTTTGCCGCTGTGTGTAGAATCGCACCTTGGAGAGTGCTGCTGCTGGGCTCCCCTCTCTTCGTCCTCTGGAGTTGTGGATCCATCTTTGTTGGCAGCTCCTTAATCTACTTCCGAATGACACTCAAGGCAAATGAAGGTCACTGAAGGTAAACGCTTGCTAAGCTAACTTTTTGCCACCTCTACGATGGTGCGGTCAGCTCGTTCAGCGACACCGCTTTGCTGGGGTGTATAGGGTACCGTCAATTGTCGTTTAATTCCGCAAGAGTTAAGAAATTCCGCTAATTCATTGTTGACGTACTCCTTGCCATTATCACTCCTCAGCTGTTTGATTTTCCTTCCTTTCTGGCATTCCACGTAGTTCTTGAACAGCTTAAACTTCTCCAGTTCCTCATTTTTCGCACGCATGAAGTAAACATGGATTTTTCTAGAATAATTATCTATGAATGTGACGAAGTAGCGGTTCCCGGCCAATGATTTCACATTCATAGGCCCGCAGACATCCGAGTGAATCAATTCCAACACGCTTGTTGAAATCATGTCTGCCCTTTGTGGGTGTGGTAGCGCACATATCTTCGAAATGTTACATGTATCGCAGTTAATGTTCGTTAGCACATGTTGAATATTAATCCCGGTCACTAGATTCTGATCTGCTATTTGTTTTAAACGTTGAAAGTTTAAGTGGCCGAACCGATCGTGCCATTTCGTTACTAGTGTATTTTTTTTTGCCATACAAACAATATTACTGTGCGAACTTATTTCGAATAAATACAAATTATTCCGTTGCTGCGCTTGTAGCACTATGTTTCCTTTTTCATCTTTGATAACAGCTTTGTATTTGTCGAACACTGTGAATTTACCGTAAGCAGCGGCTTGGCTTACTGACAAAAAATTCATGTGCAACGTTGGAACGAACAACACCTCTTCCAACCGAATGTTTACGTTTTCCGCGCAGAACACAACTGCGCCAAAACCCGAAGATTCTATATACTCTTCCGCCGCAAGCATTCTCTTTGATTTCTTTTCGATAAATGTACTAAATAAGTTTTAATTGCAGCACATGTGTGAAGTCGCACCAGTATCAAGACACCATAAAAATTCGTTTTGTTTACACACAGTTCGCAGTTCGATTGCAGTTTTTCGATAGACTCACTATCTCGGCAATCTCTCGCGCGATGTTTGTTTGTTTCTCGTCTTTGCTAGCTTTTCCGCGACTTTTGAAAACTGTACCCTTACTTTGAAAGTTTCGGTGTGCATATACCGCTTGATCAGTACGTTCTCTCTTATCTCTCTCTTCTTTTCTCGCTCCTTCTTCTAAAAGCTTTACCTTAACTGTGTCGAAGCTAGGTAACTTGTCCCGAGTTTCGATTGCTACGACGAAACTCTCCCAACTACTTGGCAAATTGGACAATAACATGATGACCTTCAAATCATCTTGGAGACGTATTTCAAGTTCGGTCAACTTATCGGAAGTTTCCGTAAATGCGTTTATATAACTGTTGACACTTTCACCGTTATGCAGATTTAGCCCCATAAGTTTTTGATAGAGCTGCACCTTTTTGGCTGGACTGCCTGATGGATGAATTTCCCGAAGTTTCCGCCATGCCAAGTATGCACTAGAGCAGTGCTTAATATGCATCAACTGTGTCGGCTTCACGTTCAGGATCAGGGACGCCAACGCCGTCTGGTCAATAATTTCCCAATTGGCACACTCCGAACTGTCTAGGGGCTTGGTAATGCTTCCACTTGCAACACTCCACAAATCCTGGGTGACGAGTATGCTCCGCATTGATATCGACCACACGTCATAGTTGTCTTCTCCCAATTTTTCTATTTGAACAGACACACTCATTTTGTTAACGAACCACGCTTAACGATTTAACAATCGAACACGCTTAACAGACAGACGGGCAGACGGACATAGCTAGATCGACTCGGCTAGTGATCCTTATCAAGAATATATATACTTTATATGGTCGTAAACGCCTCCTTCTAACTGTTACATACTTTTGCACGAATACTTTTACTCTAATTATATTAAATTAAAATTAATTATGTTGAACCAAATATTTTATTGACATGGAATAACCCTAAAACATTATTAAATCGAAATTGCATTAATAAAGAAATTTCTATAGTTGGAAGTAACCTCGTTAAAATCGTTTTGTTCAGTACAATTAGATGAATTCACTCTTTTAAATACAATGTTAGATTACACATAGAGCGTTTACGTAAATAACAATGTAACTAAATTAGAACCATTATCTTATATTCAAACGAAGGAAATAATAGAACCACACACAAAATATGATAATGTATTCCAAATAATCACTTTAACAACTTTTTTAATCATTTTTATAAGCATTTGTTGTATACATTTAAGAGCATACCAAGAAAACTATTGTAAAGCCAAATTGTAAACGATCTACAAAATCAAATTAACAGAGAAGAAAATGTAATGCTATACCCAACACTATCCACCTGAGGACAGGCCAAATTCTAAGAATGGGGGAGTAACATATCCATTCCCTTCAGTTCCAGAAATCTGTGAAATCGTGACATGTCATTTGGCACTCGTGACTCTCCATAGAGACGTTTGTTCGAGATGTCCTACCGCGAACCATAGTGGCAGCTCAAATGACAATTTCTTCGAAGTCACCGGTGATATCACCAGTGCCTTATACGAAGTTGTCATATGAGACGGCACGCATGATTTCACGAGTGACTTTACCCAAAATGTCATCAGCAATTTCATTCAAAAAAAAACATTACATACAAATTTATATTTATACCCTTGCAGAGGGTATTTTGATTTCAGTCAGTAGTTTGCAACGCAGTAAAGGAGACGTTTCTGACCCTATAAAGTATATATATTCTTGATCAGCATGACTAGACGAGTCGATCTAGCCATGTCCGTCTGTCCGTCCGTCTGACCGTCCGTCTGTCCGTCTGTTTCTACGCAAACTAGTCTCTCAGTTTTAAAGCTATCGGGCTAAAACTTTCCCAAAAGTCTTATATCTATTGCAGGTAGTATATAAGTCGGAACGAGCCGGATCGGACAACTATATCATATAGCTCCCATTGGAATAATCGGGGAACAAAATCTTGGGTGTTTTTGAACGTATAACCTCCTACTTTTGAAATGCCATCTTTTATCTAATTCTGAACTTCGAATAAATTTTTTTCAAAATCGGACGACTATATCATATAGATGCCGAAGAAACGATCGGAAAATTAATGGGAATATAATAGAAAATAAATTATTGCTTCGTTGGTTTTTATCGTATTCTCTTCTACTCTGGTATATGACTTTTTATACCCGTTACTCGTAGAGTAAAAGGGTATATTGTATTCGTGCAAAAGTATGTAACAGCTAGAAGAAAGCGTTTCCGACCTCATAAAGTATATATATTCTTAATCAGGATCACTAGCCGAGTCGATCTAGCAATGTCCGTCTGTCTGTCTGTCTGTCTGTCTGTCTGTCTGTCTGTCTGTCTGTCTGTCTGTCTGTCTGTCTGTCTGTCTGTCTGTCTGTCTGTCTGTCCGTATGAACGCTGAGATCTCGGAAATTATAAAAGCTAGAATATTGTCATTTTGCATGAATATTCTAGGAGCTCCTACGCAGCGCAAGTTTGTTTCAAAAAGGTGCCACGCCCCCTCTAACGCCCACAAGCCCCCCACAGTTTTGAAGCTATTATGAAAATAGTAACTGATATGTATTTGCTTCGTCAATACCTATCGATTGGCCAAGTAAAAAATTGCCACGCCCACTCTAATGCCCACAAACCCAATAAACGCTTAAACCTGGCCAGCGCCTACATTTCCGCCCTTCATGACTAGTAGTACCAATATCTGGCGGTAGATGGCGCAATACAATGTACCCTAGCGCCATCTGGGAAATGGCATTGGAAAAAAACTGCCTTTTTTTCGTTGGTCACTCTAATTCACATTATGTTAATGCAAATTTTAAATTATTTGAAATGGGGCGCGCATTTTGTCTCTTTTTGCTCGTATACGTTTTTCACAATTGCATTCACCTGCGCTAGAGAGACCCGGAAGATGTGCTAGGCAGAATTTAAAGTTCTAGAAAGCCTCTTCTAGAAAGAGATCCCTGGGTAAAAATCGAGCGGTGAAAAACATATAAGAAGGCATATTTCTATTAAGTTGTTTAGCTGAGTAACGGGTATCTAATAGTCGAGGCACTCGACTATAGCGTTTTCTCTTGTTTTTAATGTTTTCGAATTTCGATTTTAATTTTATCAATATCGAACTACTATATCATATAGCTGCCATAGAAACGATCGGAAAATTAGTGATTAATAGGAATTATCTGCAAGGGTATATAAGCTTCAGCTGGCCGAAGCTAGCTTCCTTTCTTGTTTTAATTAATTTATTTAATTTTATTTATTTCAATTTATTCATTTCATTTCATTCATTTATATTTCTTTTTTAATTGTTTTATTTAAGTTATTAAAATTATTATTATTATTTTTTTTTTTAACAAAGTTTTTTTAATATTCAGCAAAGCATTTCTTAGGCACTTGTCTGCAGTCAGCTTAAGGCACTTAGGCGCAAATTAAAGTTAAATCTATCACAATATCTTAGATATAAGGTAGCACTTACCTGACTTTAATTTATGTACAATATCACTTGCCACAAAATATTTAACTTATCACGCAAAACCTCCTTCTCTCATAAAACCTTCGAAAATAATGCGATGCACCAAGTCTTCTTCTTACCTCATTTAACCGATTTCGTTTGCTTCACCTTCGCTGTTGGCGCGTGCCAATGCTCCTATACCCTTTCTAAAGCGGTATATATCCAACTAAATAATTTGTATTTGTTCAGTAAAAACGCAATTTCTCAAAACTGTTACTGTTATAATATTTAAATAAATATTAATGGACCATTTTTTTTAACTAAAAAATGAACCTATAAAATCAAGTTAAATAAAAAATTTAATTAGGTAAATATATTGTTTAAGTAAATTAAAATTTTATGAATAAACAATTTAACTTGTAAGTAAAACAAAAAAAATTATTTGTTTTTTTTCGAAATACATAAACATAACGGTTAAGCGCAAAAGAGAAAGACCGACCGGCCGAAATTTGTCTCTGCTACCGCCAAGTGCAGGCAGATTATAAGACAGAAAAAGAGAGATCAATATATGAATATCGGCTTTCCTTTTCATGCACGATAGATTTCGTCTGAAATCTTCTACGCTGTGCCGACTTCTCTGCTGACGTCGGCAGCGACGGGCTCTTTTGGCTCTTTTGAGCCAAATCTGGCAACCGTGACTAAACATCCAGAACGAATCAAAATACATTATCAGTTCGTTCCCACACTTTCGGACCCTCAATGGAAAATTACCATGAGAAAGAATACCCAAAGAATAAGACTAAACAATCGGATTGAGTCGCAAGTGCATTATCAATCAACAATCCAAAGGGCAATTATAAAACCCACTCATAGAAAGCTCTAAAGCTCCAAACCGAGGTATGATCGTCAAAGAAGTTTGAGTCAAGAAGCGATTTCAGTTTGAGACTTGTCGAAATACAGTTAGTGTTCTTCAAAAATAAAAATGATTGTAATCTTTCTGGACTTTCTGGAGGGATCAGCATCTAGGAACAGTTGCCAAAATCTTCAGTTTGTCCTTTCTCTTCGCTTTTTTGTTTAATTCAGCCAGAATATTTTGTACAAAATTTGATATTTTTCACTCGATGGATAATATGAGGAATCTTAATCGCTCGAATATTTAATCATATCGATAGATTTTTTATCTATCTCATATGATGAGGGGCTTTCCATTTTTACAATTTTACTTTTGGGAATCGGCGTTTTTTGGTACATAATTTTTCGACAGGCTTTGCAAATATGTTTGCCCACCAATTGCCGGAATTCGCATTTCCAACGTGCAGTGACTTTAAATAATTTGTTCCCAACTGCTTTGTGTTGTTTTTTTTGGAACGGATTGCAACACTCATTTGGTCTAACCATGTCATTGACCACTTTTTGTGGCATTAATTAATATCTTAAAAACGACGCAATGTTTAACAGTTTTGTTTTTTGATTTTGTAGGAAAAATAGGCGGGGTCCCGCCTTGTTTTTAAGAAAAACAATTTTTTTTATTAAGGCACAGAAAAAAAATATTTGTTTTAATTATTTTGACAAAAAACTTTACGCACTTGGTACTGATCAAAAAGTTAGTCTATTAGCTTAAAAAAACCCAAAAAAAAATTTTTTTTCCTAAGGGAAAACTAAAAAAAATTTTTTTTGAAAAGTGTCAAAAAACGACACTTTTAAAAAAAAGGCCTGTAAGTTGACACTTTTAAAAGTCAATAATACTTACCAAAAGTACTCCAAACTTTTAAATTAATCAATTTTAGTTCGACTTAAATTATTTTCCATCCATTTTTATAGAACTTAGGCCAAATAACAATTAAAACCAAAAGGCTCATTGAACATTAAATTTTCCCCTAATACACAGGAGCACAAAATTAAACTTTGTGAAATTGAAAACGCATTATCATGGAAAACTAGAAATGGTTCGTGGAAATTTTTGGCTGTGTACCTGTGTACCTCTCTATTGTGCCTGTGTTTCGCTTTTCTGACCGGGCATCTGGTCTGACCTTATGATAAAAAAGGAGCCTGCGTTGAGTGATACGAATCACTTTTGCCACAGTAATGACACTGTGTGTTAGGAACCGGTCTTAACATCCTGTCCCCTCTGCATGGTTGCGGTGGCGATAGAAATCCGCCGGCTTGTTGCAAGAGTAACACAAGTATGTGTGAAACGGGGATGAGCACTCTCCTCCTGCTTCTGGTCCGTTCCCTCCTGCGAAAACTTTCTGTGATCGCCGGTCTTTTTGGAACGCCT